AAAGAAGAACTGTGTGGAACTGTTTGTGTCTCCACTGAACAGAAAGCCAGGAATTTCTGAGGCACTGCCATCTGAAGAAGTGCTGCATTCCCTTAATATCAACATTTTGCATCAAAGTTTATCCCAGTTTGGAATAACAGAGGTCTCTCCTGAGGTTGGTTATCAATTTTTATAATCTGTCATTTGTTACAGATTAGGCAGTTATTACATCCCTGGTATATTTCAGGCTAAGGTTCTCAAGCATGACGCAGGAAATATATAAACTAAGATGGCATTACTGCTATAAGGCAGTAATTATACAGCTAGCCCTGTTAAATTACTTTAATAGTCCTTCTTTAGGCTATTTGATCATTAATATCGAGGTTGTCTTTACATAGCTGGGCTACCATTGAAATCAGAGTTTAGATCCTAAGCATGCATAAGTTGCCTTAAAGGAAGTGGGCCTAAGAACCTTTTGTCTTTTTGTGTGGGTTGACAGGTATAACCATTTTGGTAGAGAGAGAAATGAAGTGCAGATGTCAGATATGAACATTACTACCTGTGTAACTTGTGTCTGACATGATTTTGAAAAATTGAATTCGTATATTGTACCTATCCTTCTTTCTGTTCTCAGGAGAAGTGAGAGATTTATTTTGTTTACCTGCTCCAAAAAGAGGGCAAAATTAAAACTTGGGTCTATGATTTCTATGTCTACATCCATTTTTAGGAAAAAAAAAAATCTATTTCAAAGCAGAGAATGCATTGCCATCTCTGCAGTGTCCCAGAGATTGTGAGTGAGATGGACATCTAGTTGTGGGCTGACCATTTGAGCTATGCACACCACTGAAAAAAAGCAAGGGCCTTTAGAAAAGGGAATCACTAAGCTCATGGACATGGTCACATCACATTGCATTTTGTTTAGTGTCTTAGAAGCCCTTGCCTACATATAAATACCCTCAGAATTCAGTGTGAGGTCTGGAAAACTTCAAACATATTATCAAGAATAAGCAATTTCCATGGACAGATTTGCACAGAGGAGATGACTATGTCCGAAAAAGTGGAAAAAGAAGGAGAGGTTCTGATGAGTTGTGTTTTCCACTAAGGGTAAAGAGTTGCTGGGGTTTTTTTTTTACATCTAAACCTATGTTTGAGCCTTTACTCAGTACTGGCTGTTATGTTCACCTGTCTTTCTACAGATTAGAAATGCTTTTGCTCATTTTCAGTGTTCTAACTCTCTCTTTAAGAATCTGGAAGGTGTCTTTGGTACAAAAAATGAAGTTTAAAAACAAGGCCAGCCTAATGCAATTTTATATGCTCTATTACAGCAGTCTGCCTCTATGAAAATTAGTGGATTCTCAGGTTTTAGTTGTTCTAATACAAAACAAAGCCAAGCAGTGCTCTTCAAATTGCCCATCAGTGACCTGAGCTAAGCTTCCTTTAGGTCAGAATTTCCTTTGCTACTGAAGCACGAGTCTGATGGTTGTAATAGATGCAATTATCTGTTCCAAGTACTTCAGTTACAAATAACACTTCAGGTAAACATGGGACAATAATGTATATGAATAATAGATGAATGGAGAAATGTCTTAAAGCTATGAAGAGATGCTAGAAAAAAGCACTGCATTGAACTCAAGATCTCCTTTTGAGTTAGATACATTTCAGTAATCTAAAGTACTCAGATATTTGAATTTGCTCTCTGGAAAAAAATTCAGACAACCAGATGGAATAATTTAGAAAAGGATCATTAGAATGGAAGTTGTGCAGACTCTGACTCCTAATACTGTTGGAGAAACAAGAGATTATTTCAGTTGTTAGCAGGTTATACAGCTAAGGCCCCAATCCTGAAAAAATCGTACAGCTTTACACTAATAGGTATTCCTTTTGGATCTCAATGAATTGTTTACATAAGTAAGACTTCACAGAAAACAGCAGCTAAAAGACAACATATAATCTTTATTCGCTTGGCTACTAACCAGTTATTTACTCTTTTCTCAACTTGCTCTAAGAACAAATCATGACAAACAAAGTAACAGCAAAGAAAATCAAAACAGGCAAACCTTTGAAGGAAGACATAGTTATACAAAGCTTTATGTAGCTTTGACACATTATTTTACCCATTGTGTGTGTGGATTCCTGAGCTATCAATCCTAATTAAATCATGAGCTAATAAATTGTACACTCTTCCACCAAAAAGTCTGAATCGTATTCTGCTCCATGGTGTGTAGCAGGGCCAGGAACTTCTTTCCCCAGAACAGACTACCAAATTGGTGCTTGTTGGTGGGACTAAATTCAATGACTCAAGAAGTCCATGTTATTATGGTGTGAGAATCTTGACTTCCTAATACCTTTAAATTGTGCTCAGAGAAAAAAATAAAATGCTACTGGATTTCAGACCTTAGTAGAGTAGAAGAGGACTTGGAGTGGTTTATGTGATAGTTTAAACAGTTTAGAATGACAAAAATAACTAAAGTTACAGTAAGTAAAATAAAGTAACTGTCTCTTGAGAGATAAGCCTACTACCAGCTGGGAGATGTGACACTAAAGGAGAAATTTTCAGAGTTCATGCCAAAGTTATGCAATCCCAAAATGTACCATTACAGCCTCCTTGCACAAAGCTTCTGTTAGTTACCTTTGAAGTGTGTGATATTAACTTCTTACAGAAGAAATCAAAGGAAGCGATCACGCACTTAAAGCATACAGAATCTCTAAGTCATTGCAAGGACAAGTGAACAAAACCAATAGCTTAGTAATTACAACAGCCGAGACCGGCAGCGGCACTTGGGAACAAAGCAGAGTGCAAAGATGTGCTCCTGTAATCAGGCAAAGCAGATGGACCACTACACCTGCACAGGTGCACCCAGAGCACTGCAACAGGAAGAGGAGGCCTGCCAGCTTTGACATGAAATCACAATACTATATTGCACATGCATGGGGTCTTTGAGAAGGCTTTGTCATGGGAGACGCTAAGTGGCTATTAACCAGTGTCCTGGGAGTCTGAGAGGTCACCCACGTTCCTGCATGTTTTCATTGGGGTTCAAAGTGATTTCTTGGCAGACTTTCCTAACCTGCCTTAGCTAACATAGTTAAAATAGGAGAAAAACCAAAACATCTCAGTGTGAACTTCAATGAACCCTTTTTGATCTTAAGTTCAATCCCCAGCTCCCTGTAAGCTTTACTCTGAGCTCAGAACTACAGCTTGCCATGCTTTCATTAGTGTTCCAGCCCAAGGAACTAATTGGGGTTAACGGACACACTTTGCAAATTCATGTGTTTTCCGGTGAAGACTTACCTTTTCTGGCAGCTCCTGATATCTTGACAAGATCTTTCAATCACAGATTTTTACAGTGACTGCTTCAGGTCACTGTATTTCTTGTTATTATCAAAAGCTGTCTGCTTCTTCTTGTTTGTAGAAATAACCCACTAGTTTTCCATAAGAAGACCAGAAAGGCCATAGTGGATTTTTAATGTTTTTTGGTTTTTTTTTTTAAAGAAAAAGTTTTAAAAAAATCATTTTTCTGAACACATTTGTTCCAGTTCAGAGCAAAGCAGATACTCATGCAGGCACTCTTCAGTAAGGTTAGTGATAGTGTGGGATTGTTAAGAATACATTGATTCTTCCCCACCTTGAATAATACTGAATTTAAACTGTCTAAATTAACCTGGCTAATTCTGCCTGAATGACTCATCTGACTGTGGAGACTCCTTAGGGAATGGAGTCCAACACTGGGGGATGATGCTCATGATGTAGTACATGATGATGATGAGCTTTCCGCCCTGTAGCCAGGTTTGCTCTGGGACACGATGGCTCATGAGCTACTGAAACTCCGCTGCCATCCCACCTGCTCTGCTATTCCCCCACCCCTATCAGCTGTGGCTTTTTGTAGCTTAGTGTGAGTTTATCTTCCTGTCTTCTGATGGCAGTGGAACATTCCCACTCCTCAAAAACTATCCAGAAGTCTTAGTGGATTCTCAGGCAGGAAAAGGCTCTCAACAGAGCGAGAGAAATGTAGAGTAACATCAGTCAGTTGAGACACAGCACATCTCCATGTGGGAGGCTCATTGCCCATGGTCATGGACTGAGGTCCTCTCTTTTTTGCTTTTTCCACAGTATTGGGCCATCCAGTGAGCTTATGTTTCCTGGGCGTCAACAATTTATAGCGAGCATGGCAGTTACCGTCCCTCTTATCAGTTCTGCCAGACCAAGGAACAAAGTTCTGAATGAGCAGCACTGACATTTCAGAAAGGAATTCCTTATCATGAGCATGAGATGACTGTAGGTCACAGCCTCTTCTGTCATTAGGGAGCAGCTTAAGCAATGATTCTGCTGTTCTGCAGAATCTAACTGCTCAGTTAGATCCAGAGGAAAGATTTCCTTGGTTAGGTGAAGGTACTACTTCAGTGTTTCAAAATGGTGTGAGAGACATGTTAAAGTTGCGGCATACATTTTTTTTACACTTTTTACAGCATTTGTTAATATTCTTTGATCTTTATTTTTAGAAAGACAAATAAGGGGAAAATGTACCCTGAACACATGTACCATTAGAGAGACATCATAGAGAATAATTCTCTTAGACTCAATTATGGATACAAAGTCTATTATAAAATATTTAAAAAGTTTTGTGACACTAATGAATTACAATTAATTAAAGACTCCCACCAATTGAGTCAAAAAGTCCTATTAGCTCTTAATTTACTTTTTAGTGTATTTGTCCTTTCAGTGAAGAGGTACAAAGACCCTAATTTACTCACTTACAAAAGGTCCGCATGGCCAGTTCTCCTTCAACTTCTGCTTTTTATCTAGATTTCCTCCTGAGAGATCTGAAACAACAGAAAGCCATCAGGTAACCTACCCTGGGTCAAACACTTAGTTTGTAGTTAATGGGACAGAACTGCAGCTGCTGCTGTCACTGTGGGATTCCCATGGAGCTCAACAGGGGCAGTCCCGAGTGCGGAGCAGCTGCAATTTTGGACTCTGAGCCAGTATTGGGACACAAGTCCTGTGCCGAGAGCACAGCAAAATAACCTTGCTGTGCTGAGGTAGCAGATTGCATGGAGAGCTGCACCATGTTAGAGTGGCAATGCTCTTTGAATATATCTAGGAACAATTTTTGCAGAAATACTTGGCAAGATTTTCAGCTTATCTTTGGAAGTCCTGGTTTTTAAGTGGCTCACTAAACACAAGACTGACACTTATAAACCTTGTTAAACCGTCAATACCTGCAATACTTTTTAAGGCCAGATCATGAAACACTGCGTGATTGCACACACACACACAAATACACTAATTTTACAAGGTCTGTTTCTGTAGTTTAGCAGAAGGGGGTAAAGGGGTTCCATTCTGGTCTCCAGGGCTATGACTTCCAAAGAAAACTCATCTTTACTAGGCATTCAGTTCTAAAGCAGTCAACTCCCAGCTATACACATGATTTTTTTAATTTTTTTTTTTAGCAAGCAAGTCTGTAAATTAACCATGCTACCAAATACTCCTCTAAATGTTTACATTTTGTGGCAGTATGATCTGTGGATTGTCTTGCATCTGCATTGACTTTAATTTGCATTGTCCTGGCCCTTTTCAAAGCAAGCAGGGGACAAACGTGTGCTGAAAGGAGGACCATGAAAACTGTATCAAGATCCAGCATGCAGCAAGTCTTTGTCAGATTTTCCTCTCTTCCCCAGGCCATGCTCTCCTCCTCCTCAGCAAGCCTTTCCACATGAATTCAACGGACTTTCTGTGGATGCTGATGGACACAAGGAGTTTGCTTGATAAACTCACTGTGCAAAAGAGCAGGCTAATCAGTGGCTAAGCAGACTTCAGAGCATGAAGTGTACCCATGTAAAGTGCTAGAGGGTCCCTGCGGTAACAAAGGTCTAGGGGGCAGCCGCTCATCTTTAAATGGGGGAACTCTTTCCTCTGTGGAAAACTCCCAGTCCTCTTACACAATGTCCCCAGAGAAGAAAAAAGGCCACCTTGAGATGAGAAGACAACTCACTAGTTTAACAAGAAGTTTAATTAAAGCCATTAGGGGATATCAACAAAGGTGAAACACCAAGACCTCAAATATTTACAGTGGAAACCAAAGCTAGAGGTGTTTTTACTCAGTCTGAGAACTGTACGGGAAATACACAATTAAGAAAAGAAAAGCAAATAGGCGGAGGTTGGGAGAGCAATGTCTACTAAACTGCTGTTGCAGAAACACAAGAATGCATACTTTATTCTAAATAATATATTGCAGTTAGACTGCAGTTGACAGTTTCTACTACCAAATCTCTATTTGGAGAGCTAGTGCAATTCTGGTAATTTAATAGCCCAACCAAATCCCCACACTGCAATAAAACCAAAAATAAATGCTTTTACAGTTATTATTATTTCATAATCCCCAGGAGTTCCCCAGGAGTTCTGGAAATTTTAGTGTGC